TGTCTCTTTTGCCACCACATGATGTTTGAGAGACATAGCTTATCCACATTGTTGGTGTATCAAAGTATCACATCTTGACTCAAACAGCAGCACTGAGAGATATAATACTTACTAGATTGACACTTTATTATCGATAAATAGGAATAGAGAACGCCAAATAGTTCAGTTACCTTTGATGTTTCTCTTGTAGTTCACTTTCGTCGTTACTCGAAATGGTCTGGATGTCACACTGGCTGTCAGTCCAGAAATTAAATCTATCTTGAGAGTTACTTCCCATTTGTTCCGCTCAGTGACATCCGCCTTCTCCAACCAATAGAAGTTGTCTCCTGCTTGGTTATTGTAAACTGAACCGAGATCTACAGAAATAATTTGTCGCTTCTTCTTCTTTTCCAAAATACTGACTGTAAGTTCAACGGCACCTGATTTTCATATGAAGTTAAACAAGGATGTAATACGCAGTGAACAAGGTATTTTTTGGCATGATCAAAGAACTACACACACAAAAAAGGACGTGTCTCCTGGAATACTTATCAAATAGCAGTCATTCAGATCCACTTTCCAACAAATGCAAAAAATATAAGGATTCTTACTTTTGACCAATAAATCATTTATTACAGAGGTCTTCCAAAACTAGAACTGCTGAGGCATTGAATACAAGTCTCAGGGAGCAATCAGTCTGAAATCATTTCTTTCCCACATAAGAAATCTATCTTCGAAAATGAGTTTTTGGTAAATAATCGCATAAAATTGTTCTATAATCTTGTAACCTACACTTTCTATGCTTTCAACCATATTTAACTGTTCATGCAGACATATTTTAATAAGTACTGATTATCATGCTCTCACAAGTAATTATGTCTAGAGGAATAAAAGGAATGTATTCCTTGCCAAAATATCGAAGTATGTAGGTGAACCAATCCTCAGCGATGTTTAGTGTAACGTGACAAAGTAAGTGAATTAAAAACTGATTGATTTATCGGCAGATCGAGTGACAATTTCTTTATATACTTTTTCAACGAGAAAGGAATGAATTCAAGAATTATTTTTCTTCTCTGGTTGAATAAAACATCACAATAATTTGGATAGATCATTCAAAACTTAACTTAAGAGCGGTAAATTTTCTTCCATCAGCCGTGCTTTATCCTTTATATCAAAACATAAGCTGCTGTTCCAAATCATCGAGTCAGCATGTTTCTTCTGCAATGGTTGTTGTTCAAATGCAAACAATATTCATTTTTCTAAAGCGTATACAAATTGGAGTGGGCAAGGCATAATAGATGTCCAAAATCTTGCATGATAGCCATGAAATTTAACTTACCTCTATTGTCGTGGGTTCTCATGGCAGCTCTGGCGCTCCTCTTTACATATGCACATACTTTAGTGATTTCCAGGTCGGCATGCACCTTTACCGTTACTTTGGAGTTTTCAAGGCGATATTCCAGGCCTTTGGGTCCTTTCTTAGTTTTCTTTTCATAAACATCCCTGAGATCCACAATTTCCACTTCCACTCTTTCTTCATAGTTGTTGTTCACAGTTCTAGAGTCCTTTGCTGCAGTGGACTTCAGAGACGCATAAACTACTTTATTCACATTTCCTAAAGATATTAAAAGAGATAAACAACGTTTTTAATGCGCTGATGGCTATTACCAGAGATGGTTGTCTTAAAGGTGAAAAATTTGACATTGCTTTCAACTGAATTGGTAGACCAATGCAAATGAAGTAGGCTCTTCGGCTGAGAAGTAATTTGTATAGTACTTTAGATTCAGAGCTTGGTGGACACTACTTTTTCTGCCTAAAATATAGAGTTCCATTTGGCCTTCTCATAGCTATAGGTTCCCACTTTCGGACAGAGGAACCTTAAGTAATGGATGAACATGGATTTGTGAATCTTGAGTACATTCTTATAGATAAGAAGAACTCAAGAGATGAATTCAATACATGGAAACACTTGTAGGGATGCGTTTGTGGTAAATTAATGCTTATAATATAAGAATTAGTCGATTTGAGCCCTTCTTCTCTTTGAAATTAGCGATCTTGAATCAATGTGGTGGTTGGGGAAACAAATATAGCTCCTATCTTTACTGAAAGGTTCAACAAAAATAAGGTGAGATTTTCAGCAGTTAAGTATCTGTTGCAATCAATTTTGAATTTTGGCAGAGTCGAATGATTAATCGACAGAACGAGCTGTGGAATATGTTCGTCATAAATCCTATTTGGACTTCAGACACAGAGGAAGATCATGGCGGATAATGATACGTATAGGTATCGGGCCAAATAAGAAACCCTGGTGAACACCAGAGTTGGCGATGTGATTGAACATATGACACGAAGGAGAATGTCTTTATGTTAAATAGACACAGTAGATAGATTAATGTTCTTCTTTTTTTAAAGCTTGTTGATCTCTAGATCAAAGTACGATATAAGAGTTAGATGTGAGTAATCTAGCCGTGTTTATTGTTCAATTTAATTCAATTTAAGGGGAACGGTTTGTGATCTAAAGCACTGAGTTATTAAAGGGCCGGAAACGATGTTTTGAGATGTTTATTTTGTTGACAACCTGGATGTAGAAGTAGCTAGATTTTGCATTTGGAGTTGGAGAGGTAAACGTAAATAAGAATTTGGACATAATCATACTGAGGTAGTAGTCACCGACGCGGTAATTACTAATGTCCTTTTTTTATACTTTTATCCGTGACAACTTCGTGATATGAATAATTTATGGTGTCTATAAATATACCCCTTATGAATGAGAAGNGGCTTGTCGGGAAGCAACTTAGATAATGTGTTTTTAGTTTACAACACAAAACTGACGCCAGCCTGCTGTAAATTTAATATTTCACAAAGCCACAAGGTGACTTCTGTTGTAAAACCACTGATGGCATTTTTGACCCCTTTTGTAAATGATCTATATATTATTTACAATCACGCAACCGCATATGCAGGGTCTCAAGTATGGACCCTCTTTGGAAGATTTCCGACTGAGTGTTTTATTTTTAGACCCTGATAAGTTTTGCTGCACGCAAAGTGCCATTTGTTGGAACCTTCCTCAGATGAAAACTCGGAATAAAACTGAGAAACCACTACGTATGACACTTGAATAAAACTAAATCAACAGTGAAACTATTAATAGCACTCATACTGGCCTATTTCATGAATTTGAGCTACCCACGTAATAACATGCATCGGCCTTTGACACATTCAGCTAAAATTAATCTTTCATCTATCCTTGTCTCAACAACCATTACGTCAAAAAATTGCGCAAGATGTATCCTTTTTGAGTCTTCTTCAAAGGATATTTTCATTAAACCTGCATGAGATCCTTTTATCAAGGCCTTGTTACACTGCGGTTTGAGTAAAAAAAAAAACAAACAAAACAGAAAAACATACCAAATGAAAACAAATTCCCTCAGGTGAAACCTCTCGCCGAGAGACCACGGGGAAATCATGAGATGATCATATACGAAATCATGAGATGATCATTCGTTGCATGCAATACCTTTTTTTGGTTTACAACTTACGATGAGAGAAACCATTTACAATTGCGCGCTGATTGGAACCATTACTTCTGTCACGTTATTTCTAAACTCTTTACCCTTACGCATAGCGCGTTRCCTGAAGAATTTTCTGTTTTTCTTCAGTTCAAATTAGTGACTGTATAGGTGTAAGAACGAATAGTGTACTTGTGAGATGAGTGTAAACGAGAAGTTTTTAAAACATGGGTGATTTAAGCATAATTTGTAATTCTCCTGCACAAAGCGTAGTTTCTCAAGAAAGCATTTGAGTTTTCGAACTCCCTGAAAAAGACTATTCAGCTTTGTACCTCGTACTTTTGACTGAATTGATAGGAATTGTGTTTGGCCAGAGTTAATAGAGGGAACTCTGGTTTGGCACAGCCAAACTCGTTTTTCTAGTAGGTGATGTTATAATACTAGAAATGAAGGATTAGGAGATGGGTTAAACTGAGTAATCCCTGTGAGGTAAGCACAAAAGAATTTTCTTCAATTCTTAAAAATGTTAAACATTACCTAAAAAAAAAAATAAATAAATAAATAAACAAAAATGAAATAACCGAGTAAACGAACAACAGCTACAATAGATTATAACTCAGTCAACGTTTTGCCCTTACTTAATGAGAATAGATCAACATGATGAAATGTTTCTCGAGTTGTTTGTTGTTTATTGTCTTAACTGTATACAGTCTTTATTGACCGATAACAATGTACAAAAGAGAGTGGACAGAGAGTAGCAATCAAGACTTTGGCTGCGATATAATGGATTTAACTTAAATTTTACTTTATTAGCTTCAGTCTTATTCCCCTGACGCTCACACAAAGTTTTTCATCAAAAATCTTTTTCATTTTTATTTGAAAGTCACGCACGTCGCGAAGGTGTTCACGAAATCAGTCACGTAGTCGTCTTCCTGATTCGCCGATGTTATCATTTTGCAGTAAGTGCAAGTTATGT